GCCCACTCCTTGATGGCATGTCACTTGCTTATTTGTTTGTGGAAGAATCGATCTAGAATTTGTCCCTCCTGCCTGTCTGAGCATTTGTTAAAGTTTGTGCTTATTCTGTAAAAGTGGGTGTAGAATTCTTCCCTTAAGTTTAAAGTTTTTCAGGAGGTAGTGACATTTCCCAATGGAAATGTGAATGATTAGATTGATTTATCAAGACCAGAGAAAGATCTAGAAGATAGTTTGACATAAACTAAACATGGGTTAGAAATAAAGTGCAAGGTTTTATTGTCAGTTCAATCTATTTTTTTTTTCCCTTAGGCTCTTAGAAGATATTTTGGGTACCATTTTGGTAATTAAACTGGAAGGGCCCAGAAATCACCTCTTTTGAAGTATATTCTGAAAAATCTTGTGTCTTTGAGATGTCCCTGGGCAGCAGAGCCTGGGAATTCTAGCCTGGGCCATCCTGGGATTTCATGGCAGTTTGCTTCAGTCAGACAAAGGAAAGAAAAAACTACTCCAGACATGCGGGACCTTAGAATGCGGCTCCAGTCCCCATGTACCACCTTTCTCTAGAAAAAGCCGAATAACTTTCTAGAGAGCCACACACCACTGCCTTGGGATGATGCCAGGAGCCGCACAAGGGTCATTCAAGTTGGGGGATCCAACTACAGCTGAAGGGTGGGGTGGGGTAGAGGAGGAAGGACAGGGATTCTGTCCTCCCTGCCCAGTGCTTGAGTGAGGGACTAGCAAAGGGGACACATTTATTTTGCTTGAACAGGGTGAGCTGCTACTGGTTATTAAAAACAAAACCAGGTGGGGTAATTGGGCCTTTAATCTCTGAGGCAAGGGAGCAGTTTGGCCTGTCTTGGTGCATGTCTGCTTGGAAAGGTCATCCTCACTCTAGAAAATTAAAGTAGGGCCCCTGGCTGGCTGCTATCAGAATTCTAGTGCTATTTTCTTCTTCATGGTCAGGTGATGTTATTGGGTATCCCATGGTCTGTCTGCATGTGTCCCTAAGAAGGTGTCCACACCCTCACATCTCACCCCATCCACCTAGCCCCAGTTAACTTGAGAGCATCACACCTGACTAGCATCTAGCTTTTTGGACCTGGAGGCGGGGCCCAGGATCCTCCTTTTGCAGATCAGGTGACTGAGGCCAAGGGGCAAGGAGTCCTCTGCTTGGGGTCCTCTGGGTTACAAACCCAGTTCTTTGTTTTGTTTTATTGAGACAAGGTCTCCCGTAGCCCCAGCTGGCCTGGAGCTCAATATGCAGACCAAGCTGGCCTTGATCTCACAGAGATCCACCTACCTTACCTCCTGAGTGTTGGGATTAAAGGCGTGCCCACCACACCCAAGACAGATCCAGTTCTTGACTAACTCTGGTGCTCTTGCAAGTATTCCAGTGATACCCATACTTGGCCTGGATTCAGAAACACTTGAATGATTTTAACAAATAGAAATCCCTTGGTCAGGCATGGTGGTTCACAACTGTGACCCCAGCACTCAGGAGGCCAAAGCAGGAGAGTCATGAGTTCTAGACCAACCTGGGCTACATATTCAGACCTCCTTTCTCTCTTGGGAGAGAGGGAGGGAGGGTTTAGAGAGAAGGCTCATCAGTTAAGAGCACTTGCTGCTCTTGCATAGGACTCAGGTTTGGCTCTCAACACCCACATGATAGCTTCTGACCATCTATAATTCCAGTTCCAGGGAATCCTACACCCTGTTCTGGCACCTGAGGGCACCAGGCATGTACATGGTGCACACAAACTCAGACACACTAAATAAAAAATAAATAAATAAATAAATAAATAAATAGGGAATGAAAGAAACGTATCGCTGAACTAAGTCTAGACAAACAGGTATTTGGGGGCTGGACAGATGGCTCAGCGGTTAAGAGCACTGTTGGAGAGGGCCTGGATTCAATTCTCAGCACCCATGTGGCATAAATAAATAGGGAATGAAAGAAACGTATCGCTGAACTAAGTCTAGACAAACAGGTATTTGGGGGCTGGACAGATGGCTCAGCGGTTAAGAGCACTGTTGGAGAGGGCCTGGATTCAATTCTCAGCACCCATGTGGCAGCTAACAACCATCTGTAACTCTAGTTCCAGGGGATCCAGTGCCCTCTTCTAGCTTCCACAGGCTTGGCATGACATGGGTACACTTACATACATGCAGGCAAACACATAAAATAGATAAGTTAAAAACAAAAAAAAATTTTAAAGTGAAGCTAATGATGATTGCTGTGGGGTCTGGTAGCTATTGAGGTCCACCCAAGGGAAGAAAGGGGGCAGAGAGGACGGACAGGCTGAACTACTCTCTGTGCTCAGGGTGCCCACAGGTACCTACACCTCCTGGTGTTCTGTTGGTACTTGCAGCCTACCTGAGCCCAGGCGTGGGAGGTACCCACCAGCAGGGCCCAACCCGCAGACACTAGAGTAAAGTTCTTACACTTAGTGTGGGGAACAAACAGTAGGTTTAAACCAAGCTTAATCTAGAATAAGAACAAACAGAATGCTTTGAAAAGATTTATTAAGCAAAGGGTGGGTGGAATCAGTGTTTGCCAGGCTGTCAATCAATTCTGATATTAATTATGCATTATGCGATTATTAGAATTCACTTTCTTCAAGGGGCTCAGGCAGCTTTAATACCAGGTTAACCTGGTTTGTGTTCAAGATAAGCCATTCTTTAAACATTTAAAGTTAATTTATTGAATGATTTAGTATTTATTTGGGGGATGGGTCACACATGCCATGGTGTGCCTATGGTGGTCAGAGGACAACTTCCAGGAGTTGGTTCTCCCCTTTTTCACACTGTGGGTCCCAGGAATTGAACTCGGGTCATCAGGCTTGGCAGTAGGTGCCGTTACCCACTGAACCATCTCGCCAGCCCCAGGATTAGTCATTCTAAAGTCCTGACAATAAGTGACTACAGGAAGACTCCATTATTTTTAACCTGTAGAGTTACACTTGTAACTACACTTGTAAGTTTCCACTCTAAGCAGTCGAATGTGATTGTCTAGTTGCTTATGTATTGTAGCATTTCAGAACTCTAGTTAAGAATTATTATCTTACATGCTATCAGCCAGAAGAGTCACATGAGTCACCACTACCATTCTCCCAAATGAGGATGCGTGCTTTCTGGTATTTTGACAACCCTGAGATAAATACTGCCCCCTTTAGGGAGGGTATTTTAAATGACTAACTGCATGATACATGTACGTGTATACATGTGTGTGCGTGCGCATGTGCACCACACACACATAAGTGATTGTGCTGCCGTCACTATTGGCCTTGCTGGGGCCCAGATCTAGAGCCTCATGTCTGCTAGGGGAGCACTTTGAGCTATATCCCAGCCCTTCAGTATTGCTCTTGACAAGTATGTAATTAAGGGGAATTATCAAGACAGTGAAAATTGCAAGCCAGGCACTCTACACACAGTTTGGATTTGTGGGGCGGTTAAGCCCATGGACTTCAGTTCTTTGTGAGACCATCCTCATGTATACAGAACCATCCAGTCCTTTATTCCTGTGACAATCACTTATCATGCAAACCTAACACCAGGGCAAAACAAAGGAGAGCTGGGACTTATGGGCGTCCTTCATTACAGAAGCATGATTTCTCCCCACAAGACGTATGGAAATGGTCCTGTTATCCTAATAAAGGTCTCATTTAAAGTTAGGCTGCACTGGAACACATTATTATTAAAGATTTATAAGCTGAAAATAATCCTGGTAGTCTCGCTAAACACAGAGCAGTTGAACATGCTACAGACTAGGGCAGCTCGTGCCATGCTTTAGAAACGTATGGTTGGAGGGCAGAGCTTTTAGGTGTTCCAGTGACTGGGGAGCGGTGTGCTTAGCAATGGACTTGAGGACACTGAATGTTCAGTGGTACTTGGCATGGACCTGTCCAGATGTCAGCATCCTCAGCAGAAAACACTGGTCGGTTATGACTGGTGAGCGATCATGCCCATCAACTTACAGCAGCTGGGCCTTGGACCAGGCACACAGGAGGACTGCTTATTCACCCATCTGTTGCCAGGATGGTTCTAGCGTACCTGTCTCTGATGACTTCCACAGCAGATCTTCCACTCTTGCACTGATAGACTCTGTATCATTTTACTTCTTGCACTTTCAATTTTAAAGCCATTTTTCCTTGTTTGTGTCTCATAATTAGCATTTAAATTTGTATTATATTTTATTTATTTGGTGGGGGCAGTTCAAGTGACGGTCAGAGGGCAACTTGGGGGAGTCACTTCTCTCTTACCACTGTGTGGGTCCCAGGGATCTAACTCGGGTCATTAGACTTAAAGGCAGGTGCCCTTCTCTGCTGACCCATCTTGGCCCATCTTTAGCATTTTAAATAGCTGCGTGATAGTCTGTCCGTGTCTTTTAATTTTGTTTTAGGTTTTTGAAACAGGGTCTCACTGTGCCACCCTGGCTGGCCTGGAGCTCCCAATATAGACCAGGCTAGCCTCAAATTCCCACTGATCTGCCTACCTCTGCGTCTGGAGTGCTGGGATTAAGGGCTTGTGCCGCCACACTGGCCCCATATTCTGTCCTCTTTCCATTTTTTTTTCTCTCCGACACTTAGACAGTTTCTAATGTTCTCAAACTGTCAGGCACCTTGACCTTCCTCTTTCCTCCCACTTTCTGCCTTAGTGTGAACCCCACTGCTGGTGCCTCTGGAGCCCTATCTGCTTCAGCTGACCTGTGGGGGTGGTCAAGAGATGGTGTGTGGAAAAATGTTCTTTCAGCCCTCAGTGTGAATGTGCTTTATTGAAGCAAAGAGGCTGTGTGTTTGAACCGACTCCACATTTGCTGAGACTTTGATCAGTTGTCCTACGAAGTGTGGGTACCAGGGTTCATATGACCAACATGAAGACAGATGTTGAAAGATGTATAGTTGCCACACTGCTAAGTGGCTTTGGGCCTCTATGGAAGGCCCAGGAGGCCACTGGAAAAAAGAGACCCAGTTACATGTGATTTGTCTTTTTCTGTTTTCCAGATCAATGTCCGGGTGACCACCATGGATGCGGAGTTGGAGTTCGCCATCCAGCCAAATACCACCGGGAAACAGCTTTTTGATCAGGTTGGTTAAGACCATAAGATGGGGGACAGCCAGTTATAGAAAAAAAATCTGTAATACTCCAATCATTTTATCTTTTAAGCAAATTACCTTGGCTTGTACACTGAGGTCATAGATGAACAGGGCCTTTGAGATGGGAACGTGCTCTGCTGTGTTACGGAAGCGTTACAAAACACCTGTGAAGTTAGATATTTTTGTTAGTTATTAATAATAATTTTTTTTCATAGTAACAGCTATTCCAAACACAGTCTTGTCTAATGGCTCAGCCTTCCCCAGAGTAGGACAGAAAGCATCATTCAACTTTGTTTTAACAGCTTTGTGTCACGGGTCAGCAAACTTCCTTTGAAGAGAATCCGACGGTATTTTAGGCTCACAGACTATGTAGTCTGTGTCATAACTGTTCAACCTTGCTGTTATATTATCAGAAACAGCTATAAATTCATAAATGGGTGAACATGACCATGCTCAAGTAGGAACATCAAATTTTTCAAGTGACTTACACCCCCACCCCCCAACATACACCATTTGAAAAGGCAGAAACCCATTCTTGTGGGCTGCAGAAATAGCAAACTAGGTTTGGCCCACAGACGGCAGCTGGCTCCCTCTGCTTTATTTAGAAACCTCTTCTGTGGTTCAGACAGAATCAGCTTTGATAACTTGAGTGCCATGATGTGGGCATGGTGGAGACCATCAGACACCTAGATGGTTCCAAGCCCATCATGCCCAGTGGTCAGTATATTATATTTAGTATATTCTGTTTTTTAACGAAACACTTCAGGTAGCCAACTCCAGCAGCAAAGGCAAGCCTCACTGCAGAGCACTTGGTTTTAAGATGCTTGTGTGGTACTGGCCAGCGGGTCACCTTGGCATCCATACACTCCCTTGGGTTCTGGAGGTGGCAAAGCAGGTGCATCTGTTTCCACAATTCCCAAAACCTGAGGTGATGGCAGACTTGAATAAGAACAGTAAGCCACTGGGGAACTCAGTTTGGAACAGTTCCAAACTCTGGGGAGCAGAATCTGCCTTGCTGGGTTTAGTAAGTTCTGCTGGGAGCAGGGGTCCAGGGCCACTAAGTGAGTCAGGCAGCACCTGAGAATCCACAAGGAAGAGTTTACTTTCCCTAGCAGCCCCTCAGCTCTGCATGCAGGTGCCAAATCTGAACCTGAGAACCCTGGTTCTGGGGAAACCTGGGAGGGGAATTGGAGCAGGTCTGGAGGCTCCGTCCACACAAATTCAGGATGGGACCCTGACCTGTGACTCTGAAAGTCAGTAGGAACCTGGAGCCATGGAAACAGAGCTCAAGTGAACAGGAAGTTTTTCTTAGCTGTTCAGGACCAGGCAGAGGCTACAGTTGAGCAGATGAAATGGAAAGGCTAGATTAGAGTATGATCCTGCTTATCTGTGGAGGACTGTCTAGTGCAACTTGATGACAAGGAGCTGGTTTGTGGAGAACAGGAAGTTGGCAGGATTGGACATAGAGACCTAGTCTGGCTCTCTTCCATACTCTGCACAAAAGGTAATGGGCTTTATAAAAAGGTCCTGGAAGCAGAGCACTGTGTAAGAGGCTGGACTTCCTTCACAGCATCCCTCAGTGGATTTTTGTGTTCAGTATATCCTTGCTGTTTGTGGGGTGGTGAGGAGAGAGAGAGCAAGAGGGTAGTCCACAGCATTTAATAAGCAGACAGTGGACTGTTAAGCATCTGCCCCCCTCCAGATGAGGGTGACCGGCTAGATTAGTTTTGTTGGAAATCCCAGATCTTACTTTAAGCAAGTGTTCCATGTATGTGGTTTCTTTCTCTCTTTGCGGGGGGGCGGCGGGAGATGGGACATCCTACTATGTGGTCTATGATGGTCTCTAACTCTAAATCCTTGAGTGTTGGAATTATTGGTGTGCACCATCATGCCTGGCTTCCTGTTTCTAGTGTGTTCAGTCCTCTTTTTAGACATCACAGGAGTTTTCTATTTGAAGAATGATAAACCTGGGTTTTAAAAGTTGATGTCCAAGACTTGAGACCCCGTTCTGATGCATGGTCACTGCTTTTCTGTCTACAGACACTCATGAGAGTACCCAGCGTGTGGCTCTCTCTGTAATGTGCCAGAGACTTTTTTCCCTCATGTTGTGGAGAATTGTAAAGTGTGAATTCGTTGCCATTGCCTAGAGTTGGGATCTTACCATAGCGATGAGAATTTCACATTTCTGGAGGCTCTTGACATGAGGACAGCAGAGTGCCCTTCACCCATCACACCCTCACCTCCCTGGAGCCCACACCTCGGCTTCTTGCATGCTTAGGACTGATTTGCCTCCCCTCGGGAGATCAGATTCCTGCAACAACTGACTGAAGGAAGATGGGCCAAGTGTTTTGCTCATTACTTTGAGACATTTTCAGCCTGGGTACCCCAAAGGGTGACGGCATGCCCAGACATTGTTGTTGGTGGACCCCTGGTCCTATAGTTCCATGTGCTTGCCACAGCCCACCCAGGTATTTTCCAATCAGGAGGGGATAGGACTGAGTTTATAAAACTTATAGATGACTTTGAGCGTGGTCATCGTTATACTAAAATGTGTCATTTGCTCTTTGACATGATTTCTATGCATCAGAAGATGGGACCCTGTCTGTGGGATTGATGGACCGAGTGGATGCTGCGTTCTGAGGACAGGGCACTTCGGGGGATGGCTACTGGGGACTGTTCGTGGTGTGAGGATGTTTCATGCTGGGCCTCTGGCCTCTTGCTCTTTCACAGGTGGTAAAGACAATTGGCCTCCGGGAAGTGTGGTACTTTGGCCTTCAATATGTAGACAATAAAGGATTTCCTACCTGGCTGAAACTTGATAAAAAGGTAAGTCAGGGTTAAGAATTTACAGGCTATTAATTGGGAGCTGATCTGCTCTGTGGACATTCAAACCAGAGCGCTTTAACTCGGTCGATCTTTTTGTTCTTTGTTATTTGTATAAAAATTTTTGTAGGCAGAAAGGTTGCAGACGTCCAGGAAGGGAGGATGTGGGTTGGAATCAGATCCTGGTGTTCCTCCTTCCTGCTCTCCTGTTGGGACAGGTGATGGTTAACTGCCTCACTTTTAGTTGACATTAGTTTTTATTTTTCAATGACATTAATCTTAGAAACCATGAATCACCCCCATGTTGTAAGAACCTGCTGTTGCTCTGTTAGAACCTGTGATAGATTATCTTCTAGTTCTAAAGATTGGGTAATTCTTCTCACAATTATAAAGAGAAGGCATCAGCTAAATGCATTTTTTCAAACTCTGCAAGCTGTGCTTTCTCCCCGCCCACACCTTCCTGTGTCATCGTAATGTAAAGAGTGGAGAAATGGGGAAGTATTGGGGTCAGATTCCTGATCTAGGACCAGACTGACTTGTAGGCAGATACCAGGAGGGTGGGTCACTAGAAGTGGGCATGGGGTTATTCCCATGTGTGTTTTCTGGGATTAATAGGACAGTCACCAGAAATAAAGGGAGGCTGAGTGGTCCTGCAGGTTAATAGCTGGGTTTCCAGCCAAGCAAGAATGCTGTTGGCTGACCTTAACTGTCACACATGCTCAAAAGATGAGTTACCAGCATGTAGCTGGTAGAATGCTTGCCTAGCATGTATGAAGCCCTGGGTTCAATTCCTAGCACCTCATAAACCAGGCCTAGTGGGTCATGCCTTTAATGCCAGGCCTTGGAGTACAGCAGGAGTATCAGAAGTTCAAAATCATCCTTGGCTACATATATCAAGTTTAAAGCCAACTCAATCTTTTGAGTCATTGGTACTGAGAGTTGGCTTCTATCACACAGGTATCTGCACAGGAGGTCAGGAAGGAAAATCCTGTCCAATTCAAGTTCCGGGCCAAGTTCTACCCCGAGGATGTATCTGAGGAGCTCATCCAGGACATCACACAGAAGCTGTTCTTCCTCCAAGTCAAGGAGGGGATTCTCAGTGACGAGATCTACTGCCCCCCAGAGACAGCTGTGCTCCTGGGGTCCTATGCAGTGCAGGCCAAGTTTGGAGACTACAGCAAGGAAATGCACAAGTCTGGATACCTCAACTCGGAGAGGCTAATCCCTCAGAGGTGAGCTAAGGCTGGTCTGGCCTGGCCTGGGTGAGCACAGGTCTCTGCCCTCGGGAAGTAAAAGGGTATGAGAGGGAGCTGAGGACTTTGTTAAGGTCAGATGCACCTTTAAGCTAGGACTCTAGCTGTTCCTAAGCGCTTTGAACTTGAGAATGTACTGAGCCAGCAGGTTCCTCTAACATCCTAATGACTAACCTGGCAACCGCCAGGGATACTGTTTCCCTTCCTAATGGGTCTGATGGGCAGGGTTCTCATGATCTGCCTGCTTAGCTCTCTCTAGTATATAACAAACAACCTGGCTTTGCCGAGCCTGTTGTTATTCTCTAATAGCAACAAGACACAATGCCTTTGGAAGAAAAGTCATTTAAAAGTACCTTTTTAAAAATTTCCAGCAGAACTGGGTTCGTCTTGTTCAAAAGGCTAAATCTTCAGGTTTACCTTCAAAAATACAAATCAAGCTGGGTGTGGTGGTACACGCCTTTAATCCCAGCACTCAGGAGGCAGAGGCAGGTGGATCTCTGAGTTCCAGGCCAGCCTGGTGTAGAGTTCCAGGCCAGCTGGGGCTACAGGGACACCCTGTCTCAAAAAGACCAAAGAAAGCTCACTGTGATTGCTTTATGCGAAAGACCAGTGTGAGTTTGGCTGCAAGTGGGAAGGGCCTCATGGCGCACATCTCACTGCCCTTGAAGGTGAAAATCCTATGTGTCTCTTACAATCCAGAGTCATGGACCAGCACAAGCTTTCCAGGGACCAGTGGGAGGACCGGATCCAGGTGTGGCACGCTGAACACCGAGGGATGCTCAAGTAAGTGCTGACCTTTCCACTCGTCTTCTCCAGGGATACCAGGTAGACTTTTAGAAAGGTCAGCCTTTGGCTATAGTGCCTGGTAAGGTATTAAGACAAAAGTGGGATTCCCTTGGGGGAAAGGAAATGTGCTTATTTTTTTAAGGCCAGTTGTTCTTTCCTGATGAAAGAAGCAACTTTTTAAGCCATTCCTTCAGAAAAGAGAAAGTCTGTGTTTGACACTCACTTTAGTCTAGGGGAGCACTGCTCACCAAGGGAGTGGGACTTTCGCTCGTCAGAGGTGCTGGCTCACTTGCTTATGAGGTTATTGTGTTCATCAGTATACAAAAATGAAAGCATGGACCCAGGTGAGCAAGGTGAAGCACGGGATGGTGGGGGGCAGAGATGATATGGCTTTAGGATACTTAGGTGAAGACCACAGTCCTGCCTCTAGCCCTGGTGGTACCACTGCACTGTCCCAGCCTCAACACTTACTTGCAGTTTGGGACTCAGTGACTGTGCACCCCCGAGTCCTGGTTTGGTTGGCTAATTGTCTTTAAGAGTCCTTTGTTGGGGGGAAGTGGCCAGAAGCCTGCAGCTGTGGCTGACATGAGTGGGAGGGGCCCTGAGAGCTGTGTGTGTTCAGGAAAGGGAAGTTACCTAGCAAGAAACCAGCATGACCCATTTGGTTCTTCCTGAGAGTTTGGGGGTCAGATAGGTGACAGCCCAGGATGGCAGGGGTCCCTTTCAGGAAGCTGTGCGGGTCCTTGTTCCCAGCCTTGCCTGCCTATGCTTACCGCTCTCTACTTGCTCTGTGTGACTGGCCTGCATTTTAAGGCTTGGTGGAGGCTTACATGTTTGGATTATTGAGGCCACTTAACCATCACACCTGTTTCCTCTCTCAGAGACAGTGCTATGCTGGAATACTTGAAGATTGCCCAGGACCTGGAAATGTACGGAATCAACTATTTCGAGATCAAAAATAAGAAGGGAACAGACCTGTGGCTTGGAGTTGATGCCCTTGGACTAAATATTTATGAGAAAGATGACAAGTAAGTTGGTTTATCGTTGAGTTTTAGCTGACAGGGTAGCAAGCCTGGAAAACAACGCTAAAGTGGTGTTAACTTGTGTGAGTTAATTTCAGAGTCTTCATTTGGCCCTTGGGGATGAAGGGTGTGAATCTTCAGGGCTTTCTGGGCTGTGTGGTAGCCCTCTCAAAGGGTGGATCAGACTTTCCACCTCCAGTCTGCTTAGCAGCACAGGGGGCCAGTGTGAAGGGAAGGCCTAGAGACCACTAGTGACCTTAGGATTCCGAAGTCTCTAAAGCAATTCTAGGGAGACTCTGGATCCCCTCTGTGCCTACTCCCCAGGCTGTTGCCACAGTGGACTCCTGGCTCAGGGCTTGTGCTAATCCAACCAGGAGTATTTGTAGTGCCATCAGACACTCCAGGATTCTGAAGCAGCAGTCTGCATGTATGAACAATTAGCTAACTCCCCTGAGCCTGCAGAGGGCGTGTAATTGCTTCACGCCAGTTCCATTGATTGTCATTGTCTGAGTCTGTGAGAAGAGCAATGGGAGGAGAGTGTCTGGCGCCGGGAGCCTGGCCTCTTGTCCTCCGTAGATGCTTACGGTCACTGAGACGGTCTGGCTGTACACCTCCTTCCCACTAGGGAAAGGCAACCTGCTTCAGCAAAGGCCAGTTTTTCCTTATGGTTGTTTGAGCTCAGATGAGCCTAGACTATATACTTCCAGCCAAGAACACTCGAAGCAGCAGGAGCCTGGTATGATGGCACGTCTGTAATCCCAGCGTGAGGACTGAGTTTAACACCAGCCTGGGCTACATAGTGAGACCCTGTTGCAAAACAAACAAACAAAGAACAGTGGGAAACCACTTGGTAAGAAGAGGGAAGGCTCCTCCGGTCCTTGCTGCCTGTCCTCTGCCAGCCTCCTGTTGTGGCTCTAGACTCAGCTTTGCAGAAGGCAGCTGCAGCTCAGGCTGAGGAGGTGTGTGGCAAGACGCCCCAAAGGTCTCCATGTCCAACCCTTCAGTCTGTTCATGAAGCAGAGGGGCCCAGAATCCTGATGCATTCGAGCCCTGTGACGTGTGTCCTGGTTCCCATCCCAGCCACATGCTAAGATGCTGCCCTCTCTCTCAATCCCTCTTAGCTCCCCACAACTCACGTGCCCCTCCCCACAATCTCTCTGAAGCTATCTAGGAGAGCGTCTCTGCACATAAAGGATCCAGATCCCAGAGCACAGGTGCAGTTCACTGGGCAGTGCAGGGCCTCAGCTTTACGTTCTTTCCCCTTGGGCCCAAGTGTGGCCAGTGCAGGGCTGGAGGCAAGCTTTGTCCCCTGGAAAAACTAGCATTAATCAGGAATGAACCAGGCTACCCGGCAGCCCCAAGCAACACACCATTCAGAGCATACCAGGAGCCCTCAGAGAACATAGATGCGAGCTGTGAAGGGCTTGCAGCTTGCTGCTGCCCAAGTGGCTTGGTTCAGTGTTAGAGAAACGAGGGCAGTCTGAGTCCAAAAGGAACTCTGGGAGCCTGCTCACAGTCCTCCCAGTCCTGAGCAGAAGCCGGGGACTGTGGCGCACCCCCGTGCCAAGGAGCTGTGCCCCATCTGTCCTCCTGGGAACGCAGGTGGGAAGCTGTATGTCTTTGAACTCCATTCCTGAATGGCCAGATTTTGTAACAGAGCCGCAGCCAGGACTGTCCAAACAGGTTTTTCTGGCTGTAAGAAATAGCCGGTAGGCAGGGACTTGCTGATGTTGGCCTCTAACCACCCCAGCACACAGAAATGTTCATATACCTTTCCCAAGTACATTTTGAACGGCGCCCCAGTGGGTCTCCCCTTGCTCCTCCACACCCCATTCAGCAGCCAAGTGCAGGATTTCCCAGTGGTCTTGGGTCTCCTCTGCTGGTGGCACTAGGCCGCTCCACTCCCATCACCACCCTTTCTGGAGAAGGCACACCCTCTCTTCAGAAGAAAAGCACTGTTAACAGCCTCTGTTCTTCCTGTTGGCACAGGTGTTAACAGCATGGTTAGCAGTAGCAATGGCAGATTGTTCTGGGCCCTAAGGACCAGAGCTCTAAGTGGGCTGGATGTTGAGTTGCTTTTTTTCACTAGTGGAACTGTGGGTGAGAACAAGATAGTCTTGATACATTGTTCATAGGAGAAATCTGATACATAGAGAGTAAGTTGAGCTAGAAGAGTTCTAATGTTCTCTGCAAATAAATCGTTATTGTATCCTTTTTGGAATTAAATAGGCTCTGAGAAATGTCTCCTGAGAGACCCCCCTTTTCATGTCACAGTTCAGTGCTAGCATGGGGTACGGAAAGCCTTTGTTCTGGTTCTCTAACCCTTGGCTGGAAGGAGGAGGGAGTGGCAAGCAAATATCTTCCCCAATGGCAGTTTGTACATAATAGAAGTCTAGGTGACTGGGTTATAATTCTACCTTGCATTCTCAGACCAAAGCTCTCCGACACAAAAATAAATTTGAGGAAACTGATCCTGTCTCTGCATTCTTTAGTCCTTTGCAAGGATGGTTCCCGTCAGCTTCATCCCTTTCCTGGGTTCCATCATGAAGTAGGTCTATAGGTAAGAGTTTGGGGCTCCGGGCTTCAAGCCTTCAAGGGAGAGTGGGTGCTGGGGGAGCTTGTGGCCACGTTGGGGACTAGACCCCATGAACTTGGTCACTTGGGATGTTTCACACTCTCACTCCACATCCCTCTGGCACTCCAACTTCTAGTTGATTGTCTCAACTGAACTGTGGTCTCTATGCTCTTCCTAGGAAGAGTGTTTTGATGTAAAATTTAAGTATAATGAAAAGTGGTCTTGTGTTTATTTACTAGATTTTGACAAAAAGCCTGCAAAATTCAAAAATCCTCTCAAGACATACAACAATTTTCATTGCCTTAACTGCAGATTTTGAATCTTTAAAAAAAATTAACTATAGCTGGGCATGGTGGCACATGCCTTTCATCCCAGCATTCAGGAGGCAGAGGCAGGAGGATCTCTGTGAGATGGGGGCCAGCCTGGTCTCCATAGGGAGTTCCAGGTCAACTGGGGCTACAGAGAGACCCTGTTTCAAGAAAAAAAACCCAAAAATTTTTAACTATTCTTTTTAAAAATCATTTGAGTTTAGAGGTTCAAAAAATGGTTCAAAGAATTCCCATGTACCTCACGCCTCTTGTGTGGTCCCGAGTCTCACCATCAGGAGGTTGGGCTAGTCAGTCGTGGGCCTCATTTCCATCTGGACTTGTCCCATGAATGCCTGGTTTCGGCCTCAGGAACCTGTCCAAAATCATGCCAGCCTTTAGTTGTCACACCTCCAGTCTCTTTTGAGCTGAATGGTTCCATAATCTTGGTCATGGCCTTGATTTTGAAGAGTACCGGCCATTGATTTTGAAAGTCTTCAACTTGGCCTTGCCTGGCGTTTGCTCACAATAACATTTGAATTTTGCATTTTGGGTGAGAATCCCATAAAAGTGCCTTGGTGCCTCCATGGCCTCCCATAAAGCACAGTCAGTTCATCCAAGTGGGTCAGTGATGAGGGAGTGCGGCCAGGCTCCACCGTAGCTCCTGTCCTTGCTGCAATTGGTGAGTATGTTTGGGGAGATACTGTGGAACTCCAAATATACTGCTGTACTGAATCTTTCGGTGTTAACCTGCAGATGAAACTTACATGAGATTGTTACAGTGTTAAGAAATGGTCATTTGGAGGAAAAAAAATCATACATGTATTAATTGGAATCCTGTAAGGAGCCAGTTGCCTTTCTTCATTTTGTCAGTTGTCTGTATTAATATGAACTTGTGGGTATTCGTTACTTGGATGGTTTCAGATTTGGCTTGTAGGAGACCCTGGCATTGCTATCTCTGTCCCGTTGTTCTAAACTTACCCTCTGGATCTCTAAATGCCCCAGACCCATCCTATGCAGCCCAGCCCTGCAGTCAGCCATTTCTCCCATGTCCCCTGGTCTCTGTTGGTGGAGATTCCCACTCTTTTCTTCATTGGATTTTTTTCCAAAACAAGGTCTCCGTCACCAAGCCAACCTGGAGCTGACCATTCTCCCGCTTCATCTTCCCAAGTGCTGGGATTACAGGCCTGTGTCGCCACGCCCAGCTCTTCCCACAGCCCCTTCTAAATGAGTGGCATAGAAAGGACTGTTACATTATAAATCCTGTGGCAGTCTTCGGGTGGACCATGTTCCTGTCTTACGTGTGATCTCTTTTTAGAAAGGGAGAGGAAAAGGGAATCCTTGTGGTCTTTCGTTTTTCCAACTCTGGTTAAGAATTAAAGGAAGTTCTTTAACTCAGAAGTGAGTCATAACTTTCATGATTTGATACTGCAGTTATGCTGATGAGTGACTGCGGTTGTTATGTGAGCTTTAAAGTGTTAAAGGCTGGATGCCCTGCTGGTACCCAGCCTTTGGAATAAAGGTGCCTATTGAACTTGGAGGCCTGGGTCTTCTGAACAGAATCTAGACAGTCCTGTGTAGATGGGCGCTCCAGAGCAGAGCATAGGAGTTGAAGATGTTGACCTGGCTGAGTGGCTGTGGGTTGAGGAGCTAGCTGTCTCCTGGTCCTCAGCTCCTCTGGGACCAGCTTTTGCTTATGGGGTCTAGGGCAAGTTCTCCACTCTTCAGCCTTTCCGTATGAGGAATACACTGGCAGGACCAGGCCATGTCTTTGTTTCTGTTCCAGCGTTCTGAAACCTATAACATTATGTTGCTGAGAGTTCTGTATCCTCTGCATGATGATAACGTAACAACACACTGCATGTTTGAGCACCATGAAGCATGTTAGGCAGCTGTAGTTTACAGGCATAGGCAACAGAACTATAAAGAAAGGATCTAGGAGCTGGAGAGATGGCTTAGCGGTTAAGAGTACTGACTGCACCTTCAGAGGACCTGGGTTTAATTCCCAGCACCCACATGGAGGCTAACAACTGACCATAACTCCAGTTCCATGGGATCCAAGGCTGCCTTCTGACCACTGTGGGCGTTGTATGACACGGGTGCACTTACACACATGCAGGCAATACACTCATACACATAAAATAATAATAATTTTTTTTTTTTTTAAAGAAAGGATCTATGCCTGAGGCTTTAGCACATGAACCAGCCTGGCTAGTATCCTGCATCACTAATGTGGGTATGCTCTGATTGCTGTGCCCCAGAAGAGCCATCTGCCATGCTTAAGAGCTTGCTTCTGTGGAGCTAGAGCCACGGCTCAGTGGTTAAGAGCACCGGCTGCTCTTGCAGTGACCTAGGTTCGATTCCCAGCACCCACATGGCAGCTAACAACCATCTGTAGCTCCAATTCCAGAGGAATCCGATACCCTTTTCTGACCTCTGGACATTGCACGACACAGGTACACTTACATACATGCAGGCAATACACTCATTAAAAAAAAATTACTAAAATAATTGTTTTTTAAAAAGCTTGCTTGTGATCTTCAGAGGCCCTGCTTCTCTGACCCAGCTTTTTTTTTTTCCAGAACGAGACCCACTATGCCCATGGTGGTGGTAGGCCATGAATCCTACCCTCCCCCAACCTTGCTGTGATCTATTGGAAGTTATAGTTGTAGGGAAGGCCTGGTGTCATTTAAATGTGTGTGTGTGGTGTATGTACACATGCAGGTGCAGGTACGTGTGTGCAGAAGCCACAGAAAGACGTCAGGTGTCCCACTCTATCAGTCTCCACCTTAATTCTTTTCAGATGGGGTCTCTCATTGACTCTGGAGCTGATCTGGCAGGCAGCAGATCTTGGAGATCCTCCTGTTTTGCTCCCACCCCCACAACACTTGGGTTACAGGTGCTTTTTTACATGGGTTATGAGGATTTGAATCTGTCTTCATATTTATTTAGTGAGCACTTACTCTCTGAGCCATTGCCCCAGTCCAGGACTGTGTTTGAAGGCAGTATTTCAATGGTGGTTTCAGAGTCTCTCATTCCCGATTGTTGTTATTCCTGGTGAGGCGTTGGAGAGAGCGAGAATGAGTGGTCAGCAAAGCAACTTGATCTTGAAATCTTAACGATGGGAAAGCCAGAATTGAGGCCAGTGGTGAAATGGCATTGATTTAATAGGCCACCCTGGGAAGTGGAACGTGACACAGGGCAGCATCTGACCAGGCAGGAGTACATACACCCCCCTCCATCAGTAAGCAGCTTCTCTGAGTGAGGTCTGTATGGAAAACAGGGCAGGTTTTCATGAAGCGAAATAGTAACATGGTACCTAAGTAACACCAAGCTAGTCTGCGTAGGAGAGGGAGGGGGCGAGGCCTGGGAAGAGGATAGAAGAAGGAAAGGTGCAGCAGCCCAGACCCTATGCTGGCTGAAAGTGTAGGTTTGGGGCTGTCAGGCCACTCTCCCCTGTTGAATGAAAGATTCTGTTGACTGATAGGTAACTAATCAGACCAGCAGACTGAAAGTGTGAAAACAGGTAGGGGAGACACGTGGGGATTTGAGGCAAGAGGGGCCAGGGATAGAGTGTCAAATAGGACAAAAGGGTGTTCCTAGTTAAGAGTTGAAATTCAGTGCAATGAAACAGTGAGTCACCAGAGTGACTCAACACAGGTGCCTGAGACGGAAAAACTAAAGCGGGGTATACCAAGGTTACTAGAGTTTAACAGCCACTCGGCTGAACCTGCGATATAAAGACTGATAAATAGTTGAGTTCCCATTATGCCTCTGGGATTAGCTTTATAGTTATAAATATTTAGCTTATAAGAATTTGAGTAGATTTGCAATCCTCTCTCAGTCCAGGAACACATACATGTATATATCTATAACCATCCCACCTCTGGTTTCTTTTGTTTGTTTTCTTAACCTCAGGTTGACCCCAAAGATTGGCTTCCCTTGGAGTGAAATCAGGAACATCTCTTTCAATGACAAAAAGTTTGTCATTAAGCCCATCGACAAGAAGGCACCTGTAAGTTCAAGTGCATTTTACACAGACCTTGTTTCTCATTCTCGCAGCTAAAGGGGTTTTCAGAACACTGAGATTTCCCAGTGTGCCAAGAGCCTGTACTTACTCAAAGTTCCCTGTCATGGAATGTCAAAAATCTTTGGGCCATGTGATTGACCGTAGGAAGTGGGAGGTTGTTATGGAGACCAGATGGGTCCATCCAAAGCTAGATGATATAATCTCAAGTCTTCATACAGAGAAAGGGGCAGTTCTAAGTCATCGACCTTGGCCAAGTAATAACGAGCATTTCCCAAAATGACACACTTCTGCCGGCTCACACCCGCTTGTGCAGTGTCTGTGTTCCTATGGTCTACCAGCCTGTCCCCAGATACCAACCTGTGAGTGAGGCTCATACCAGCATCTCCCCAGTAGCCAGTTGGAAGATAGACACTGAGACCTTTCAGAGCTCCCTCGAGCTTACCAAAGTGTCAAGTCTGTCTGGAGCACCGTGGGTCCCCAGGGTTTCCTCTGTGACCCCCCCCCCCATGCTTTCATACAGCTAGGTGTCCCACCTTTTCTCCATGGTCACTATTACGTGATCTTCACTTGGGCATTGGCACACTCTACCCACATGGGGAGTGACGGAATAACTTCATATTCTGGAGTTCAGGCATGTGGATTGTGAGCTAAGAGCTGTGAGGACCAATGTGTTTATTTTGGTTTTATTCTGAACTTATAGCTAATGTTAGTTCACAATATTTAAGACATAGACATGACTATAATATGGTAGAAATGTCAAGAATTCTGTTTTCCTGTTTTAAAAAAAGTGATTCTTAAAAAACTCCACTTGAAGCATTTGTTACCCTCTTAAGGCCGCCTGCTTTTTACCACAGTTACGGACTGGGAAAGACTTTGGGCTCCCTTACTCTTTTTCTTCCCTAGTTACAGTGGTAAGTTCAGAGAGGCAAACATGGGCTGTGTCCATACCTTCGAGGGTCGGTTAAGCCTCTTAGGACTGGGAACCACTTGGGAATGGCAAGCACACTACATGGTATTAATTCCAATTACTTTTCCCACATATGGGCTAGTCTATCATGATTTAAAATCAGCAGGTCTTGATTTTGTTTGTGAGAGTATTTTCTTTATTGAAATATTTCCTGCTGTTTGTAAACTTTTGACTCCTTCTCCATGGGTACTCACATGGTTTTTAAAATTAAACTAGTGTTTAATACAGCCTCTCAGGCTCCATGGTAACAGTTCACGTTGATATGCAGCCCCACCATCTGAGGGTCACAGTGAGCCCATGTTATGGGGGCAGTGAGATTGATACAGTTAGAAAAGCAAGAAAATTCTGACGTCTGTGGGTGTAGATTGCTTTCTACTTGGTGTGGTGCTGGTAATTTTTCAGAACTGTTTTTTAAGAATTCAACAGACAGTAGAATAGACTAGACTCGGGGCGGGGGGGGTGCATATAGAATTTAGCTTTTGAAAAGCTGAAGAATGTTTTATAATTGTAAAGTCCCAGGCAGAGGCAATTATGGTACCTCTGGTTAAATTATTGCATATATAGTCTTTATCAAGCATTCCTGTGGGGAACCTCACTTAAAAAGAATAGAGATGGGGGCCAGGCAAACATGAGGACCTCAGTTTATATCCCCAGCATCCACATAAAAGCTGTTGTGCACATCTTTCCCCCAGTGCTGAGGGGAAGGTAGGATGGAGACAGGGAGATCTCTGGAGCTCACTGGCCAGACAGTCTAGCTGAATGTCTGAACTCCAGGTTCAGTGAGAGAATCTGCCAGAAGTAGTAAGGTGGAGAGGAGCATGGTGGTGCACGCCTTTAATCCCAGCACTCTGGAGGCAGAGGCAGACAGATCCCTTTGAGATTGAGGCCAGCCTTGTCTATAAAGCAAATTCCAGGCCAGCTGGGGCTACAGGGAGACCCTGTCACATAAAACCAAAATAAATAAGACCAAGAACAATGGAGGAAAATACCTGGCACTGATGCTCTTGCTCACAGGTATACACACACAGAAACCACTCACAAAAACCCACTGCTAGTTGCATCCCTGTTGCCTGGCGTTCCAGGATTGAGCTGTGGCCATGAACAGTCACAGTTATGCATTCTGGTGGAGTCAGCCTCCCCACCTCACCTGATCTCATTATTTTACTTTAGGCAGAAGAGAACCAAGTTTTCAAGTTTAAACTTTCACATAAAAGGCCGCAGAAAGTGTGCAGGTGGAGGGGCTGGGACCCCTTACCTGGTACAGCCTTGCAGAGGGCACCTTGTCCTGTCTAAAAGGACAGGGACCTTAAAACCTATTCCAGAGGACAGGCAGGTAGCTCCCTACTTAAAGCCAGCTTCTTCTCTGCCAGTGGCACAGCCATTTGGGGCCACATTCTGACTCTTAGATGGAGTCTCCCATCCTGAGGCTGCCCTCGCAGCTAGTCCAGGCGGTAGTCACCATTTTCCTCAGGATAGAGCCTGCCATTCCCTGTGGACTCTAGGGAGAGAGAGAGCTCACAGGCAACTGCTGAGCTGAAGTGGGTTCAGCTCAGCTGCTTCCTGCAGGAAGCCTTCCCAGGAGCCCCTCTGACAGGCTCACTGGCCCCAGCCCTAAAGGACTGTGGCCTCATGGGAGTGCCTGTCTCCTCAGCCTGGCTGGATTCCGTGTGCCTTCAGTGCTCCTCCAGCTCACCTTCCTTGTGCTCGGTTTCTTCCATTTTCAGGACACAGGTGGTTGATCAATTTAAAAAGCTTCCCCCGTGTCTCGTCCTGTTGTAGTTTTGCATTAAGAGGCAGAGTTTGGGGACTTTAACGTGAACTTAGAAACTGACTTCCTTCAAAGGCTAAGGAGAAATTCCCTCCCCTCACCCACCCAGCTACTGACTGCTGACTCTCAGGAGTGATTTCTAGTAGTTTCTAGACCTGTCTCTTGCAGGCAGGGGTAGGAGGATTCTTATGTAATTCTTATGTTAAGGGCATTTCTGACCCTTGAATCCTTTTGATTGATTTTTTTTTTTCTAAAGGGGAATTGGTGCTAATCAGCATTTCTTTGCAAATACTTGTGAGTCACAGTGGAACCTATTTGGGCTGTGTGCCTCTGAAGCCCTAATGCAAGGTCATTTTCTCTTGTGTAATAAGAGATAGGTGGGTAATAAAAATTCCTGCTTCTCTTAGCTTTGTGGGCTCCTCCCTGGGAAACTCGATGACTAAATAACCAGTGTGTGAAACCAGAGGAAAGCCCCACCCGGGAAATTGAGGGCTCCAGCTGGCCTCAGCCTCCTACTCCAGGGCTTCTAGAGCCCTGAAAGGAAGTCAGAGGAGCTACATGGACTGTCCCTGAGTTTGTCAGTCTCTAGTGTCTAGTTGTGGTGGAAGCTGTGTTTCCACCTCCTTCCTTCCCTGCTCCTAATGGTCAGAAGGAAGCCAAGAAGCATTTCTAAATGCCCAGTGCTCCCCTCTGTCACCCGCTTCTGTCCCCCAAGCTAATCCAGCCAGGAACAAGCAAGGTTGTCTGTCAGAATTGCCCCAAAGTTGTATGGTCACTGGTCCTGAAATGCCCAGATGTGTGCACTGTCTTTTTTGAGAGGCCACTTCTGGTAGTAGTTTTATAGAGCAGCCGGTACCACTCAACAGTTCAGTGGCACTGTGCATTTCAGCCAGCTTTTTCTGCCCCAGGTTCTAGTCAGGTTCCTTATGAACAGTCTCCGATTTAATCTTTGACATTCCCATTAGATACTGTTACTCTCATTTCAGAGGTGACCCTTAGGCTAAGTGATAGAATGACTTGCTTAGGGTTGTGGAACTCGGCTATGGCAGTGTGTATCAGTGGACTGTTACCCAAACATTATTTGCTGAGCACTAATACCTACTGAGTGTTGATTTGATCCTGGGAAGACAGTTGAGTGAACATAGTCCCTGTTCTTGGAAGCCTGACAGTCAGATAGGAGTCAGATGTCAGAGGTAGACAATATAGTGGTGTGCTAGCGCACTGTGGCAGACCCCTCCACCAGTCACAGCAAGCACGGAGACAGGGCTAGGAATCTTTGAGTGGCTAGGGTTGCACTGTGGAAAGATGTGATGGGGTGCGGCTCAGATGTTCACGTATATAGTGGAGCTGGCAGTATGAGGCTGTGGCATGTCCTGGGCTCAGGAATCTGGAGTAGTGGTGGTCAGGGCAGTGACCAACAAGTCTGTGGGCTGGTAGCGGTATGAGAGGTGAGAGGCTGTGGCAGAGGAGACGAAGCTGAGGTTAAGGTAGTATGTTCAAGAATAGGCAAAGGAGGGATGGTGACAGAGGCTGTGGGGATGGAGAAGACAGACTCCAAACGTGCTACCTAGTAAGCAAGGTAACACTGGGATGTCAGTGTTGCTGGTTTTCCCAAGGCTAACACAGATCTCACTATAAAAGAGCTGTAGTCTGAGATTTAGCATGTCCACACAAGCATGCTAGGCAGACCACACAGACTACAAACATGCATGCTGATGCTCACATGTATACATATGTACACAGAAAGATGCACAGACCAGCCACCCTCTACTTGAACCATAGAGCCTTTGTTCCACATACTGAGAATGTACATTTTGGGACCCGTAATCTGCTGCATTTAGCCTTTTAGAACAGATTCAAGCACTCCTTGAAGTGTGATCTTGGGAAAGAAGGCCATTGAAGGAGTTGAGTCCATACCGCTTTGTTCTGTTCTTAGGACTTTGTGTTCTATGCTCCCCGCCTGAGAATTAACAAGCGGATCCTACAGCTCTGTATGGGGAACCACGAGCTCTACATGCGCCGTCGGAAGCCTGACACCATCGAGGTGCAGCAGATGAAGGCCCAGGCACGAGAGGAGAAGCACCAGAAGCAGCTGGAGCGGTGAGTGACCAGGCCTGCGGGATGTCCGTCAGGTGACCTGGAGCAGCGCTGCTTTACCTGATCAGAAGAACCTGGTGGAAAGTAACCAGGTGTAGAGGCCTCAGGGGCCTCGGGCCTGGGTAGTTCTGTTCCTGTGGTGTGCTGCTCAGGGCCCAGTTACGGCAGCACAGTTGGGGTTGAGTGTTGGGCCTGTGAGCTGCTCCCACCTGCTTCATCACAGACCATCCAAGCACAGGCCGTGGCTCCCTTTGCTCAACTCTCAAGCCCCTGTGCCTACATGTCCAGGTCTGCCTGAGTCTCACCCTTCTGTGCCTCTTCCTCATCAGACAACAGTTGGAAACAGAAAAGAAGAGAAGAGAGACGGTGGAGAAGGAGAAGGAGCAGATGTTGCGGGAAAAGGAGGAGCTGATGCTGCGCCTGCAGGACTATGAACAGAAGACCAAGAGGGCTGAGAAAGGTCGGGAGCAACTGCCCTCCGTGGTCACTCCAGGGTTGGCAGGCAGGGTCCGCATGCATGGGGGGAGGGGGGAGGCTTGTTCAAGAGCGGGATCTTTGCTTAACACACCCCCAAAATAGAACAGAGAAATGGCGTTTAGATTAGAAAGCAGTTCTATGCTTTATTAACTTCTATGCCTGTTTTTAATTTTCCCACAATCTTTTAAAATCCTGAATCTCTACCATTTTCCTAGAATGTTAAGGTTTAGTGAGGTAATCATCCTACAAACACACTAGTCAGTAGTAGAGCCAGCTGTGACACCTCCACAGACATTCCAAGTCCTGGGATCAGTCCTGCCCTCTAGGGTGTGCAGAGCAGAGGGGAGATGCTGTTTGTGGAGCCTGAAAGACACCAGCCCGTCATTTCCATGTTTGAGCCAGTACCCAGGTCATGAGGTGAAAGGTCGGTGGTGGTGAGATCTGAGGAACTTGGTACCCAGAAATTACAGGGTCAGACCTGACCAGGGAGCAGGATACCTGATCACATTGAGGAAGTTGTTACAGAAACATAGTAGAAATGAGCCTTAAGCTGTCCCAGGCTCACTGCCCTTGACTCAGTCCAGACTTTGAGGAATGGCTTTCATCTGCAGTCTCCCTCAGCCCACCTGAGGCAGGAATAGATGATGAGGACCCAGGTCCTGGCCTAGGGGTCTGAGCGGTTCTGGCTTTGCATTTTCTGTAGAACTCTCTGAGCAGATCGAGAAAGCTCTCCAGTTGGAAGAGGAGAGGAAGCGAGCCCAGGAGGAGGCTGAGCGCCTTGAGGCTGATCGTGTGGCTGCCCTGCGGGCCAAGGAAGAGCTGGAGAGACAGGCACAGGATCAGATAAAGAGCCAGGAGCAGCTGGTAGGGATTGCCTGGTCTCGAGATGCTAAATTATGGAGAGGCCACTTCTGGGGATCAAAATGACACCTGTCTTACAATGCTTTCAACTAGGGCTGTAAGCAGATCTGCTGTGGCAGCCACAGGGAGGGGGTGGGCCTTGGTCATCAGAGAGGTGGACGTGGGTGCCCGGAGTCCCACAGAGAATATAGGGTGGTACATATAGGCTCCCTTGACCATGGGAGGGAGAGGATGCCACCTATCACCAGAGAGGCTATTCAGTCTCACATGTGAAAGTTTGTCCACCAATGGACTCTGCCAAAAGGATTCTAGAAACCACTTTCCCTTCCCTTCCAGGCCACAGAGCTGGCAGAGTACACTGCCAAGATCGCACTCCTGGAGGAGGCACGGAGGCGCAAGGAGGATGAGGTTGAAGAGTGGCAGCACCGGGTGAGTCTCAGCTCCAGAAACCGTACGTGGTCACAGGCTGCAGCCTGGAGGGTGGGTTGAGCAGGGATGTGGCTCAGCTGAAGGGTTGCATCCAGAGCTTTTGGGGCCTTTTATAATCCTTAGCAGATGCCTCTCTACTAGCAAGGCAGAAATCCCTGAGGAATGGGCTTAGGTCCTGGGGCCTAGGGTGCACTGGTGTCGGCTTAGCAAAGGAACAAAAACGGCTTATTCCCTTCCCCCACTTTGTTACCACCTCCCACACAGTTCAGACACCCCTGATCAAGAACTAGTTTTAAATATGACTACTTGGGCACCCCCTGCAGTGGGGTCACAGTGCCTGAAGCAAGATGTGGCAATTGGAGTATATACTGTAGAACCTTGGAAGTCTCCAGACCATGGTGACATCTCAGGCTCTGCCATCCATCTGTGTGACTGAGAGCTCACCTCTAAGCCACACAGAATGGAGGTTGCATCCAGTGTGTCAGTCTGTCTGCCTTACAGGTCAGAAATCATGTGCTTTGCATGGGTTCATTTGGTTATAGCTGAAATGAGACCAGGCAGAAAACCTGCCCCACTACCTGTATTCTGTGACCTACAGGACAACAGAGGGGCTAGGTCTGGCTGATTCTCACTGTGGCGGACTTACAAGGTTTGGGAGGGCCCCTTTCACCTGTGTCCTTCTGCCTCTGGGATAGTGTTTCCCATTCCTACCTTAACTGTTCTCCAACTCATTGCAAGCAGAAAGTGTTCATTATAGAGTATCAAGCCAGTTATAAAGCAGGTTGGATTGAGTTTACATCTAGGAAAGGGATGAAGGTAGATGGGATTGGGGCTGTGCCCCACTAATGTAGGCAGACCCCGGGGGACGGGCAGGAAGGTGCTTGATGACCAGCAGCCCTCTAGGTGAGGTGCATGCCCAGACACGTGTGGTGCTCCAGGAGTTGGAGGACTTGGCTGAGGTCTTTAATAACTGTTTTCCAAGAATATAGATACGGGCATATGCTCAGATTATGAGCAGAAAGAAATGATAAAGTGTCTAATCTCTGGAACCTTGATTTTCCCTGTTCTGTGGACTTGGCTAGTGATTGCAGAAGGTCCTGTGTGTCCCACTCCTGAGCAGTGGTCCAGCTGCCTGGAACCAGCTGGGGCCACAATCCCTATGCTCCTTACACCAGACCATGCCACTTCTAAAGAAAAGGGTCCCCAGTGCAAGGGCTATAGGAAATAGCTCTCACTTGTCCAATGCTCTGCTCTCAATAGGCCAAAGAAGCCCAGGATGACCTGGTCAAGACCAAGGAGGAGCTGCACCTGGTGATGACAGCTCCACCACCCCCGCCACCCCCAGTGTATGAGCCTGTGAATTACCACGTGCAGGAGGGTCTGCATGATGAGGGGGCTGAGCCCATGGGCTACAGTGCCGAGCTTTCTAGTGAGGGCATCCTGGATGACCGCAATGAGGAGAAACGCATCACTGAGGCCGAGAAGAACGAGCGTGTGCAACGACAGCTGCTGGTGAGCATGGCAGAGGCCGAGGGGCCTTTGGGGGGTGCTTTGCTTTCCTCCGTGGAAGCAGACTTTATACAGGACCACCAGGAGTTGATGCCCCCACCACCACATTCCCTAAAGGAGGGCGTCTTGTCTCCCAGTCACTATGGTGTCACTGTCACAGAGGAGGCAGGTAGGTAACAGGTGCTGCTTTATGTTGCAGACTCTGAGCAATGAGTTGTCCCAGGCCAGAGATGAGAATAAGAGGACCCACAATGACATCATCCACAACGAGAACATGCGGCAAGGCCGGGATAAGTACAAGACGCTGCGGCAGATCCGGCAGGGCAACACCAAACAGCGGATCGACGAGTTCGAGGCCATGTAAAGACCAGGCTGGGACTGAGGGCATAGGGCGCCTCACAGCAGCCCAGTCACTTGGCTCTTAGTCTAGCAATCCCCTTGACATGTTCCAGTCCCTTAAACAGCAGTTACCCGGCAGAAGTGTTCTGGACCGGGAGCCAGCAGAAGCCTCCCTGGCTATCTTCCCGCCTGTACAATAGTGCCAAACAGGCCCGATTTTTATGACAGTTACTGAATCACTTCCTGTTTCCTGCTTGGACCAGGATTGCTGGGATTCAGATGCCTCTAAGGTCTTAAACTTCATGCTGGCCTGTGTGACACAAGGTTCAGTCATTAGAGACCACACTGTGGTTTACATCTGTGCCATCCCTTTTTTGGTTTTGAAATGAGCTCACGTTGATTTGTTCTTGATTTCTATGAAGGATCCATCTGTGTTTTGAGGGGTGAAAATTATTTTGAAAATTGAGTCTAAAACTCGCTCCCACATAATGATTTCCTTCCTCCAAACACCGGTTCAAACCGCTGACAGACTTGTGGTCTTGAGTGTACGGTACAGGACTCTGATAAACAAAACTGTTTTCATGCTTACCTTTAGAATACATTGTTGGACTTATATAGCTAATGATCTGCTATAGATAGTATTTATATATGTGATATGGGTTTGTAACATTAGTTTTAAAAAGGGAAAGTTTTGTTCTGTATATTTTGTTACCTTTTACAGAATAAAAGAATTAAATATTAAAATACCATGTAACTCATGGCACTTGATCTGACGTGAAGGCAGCTGTGAAATGATTACCTGCTGTCATCACATCTGTACAAAATGTTAGCGTTGTTTGTGCATGTAACTGCACACTCCAATTTTCTGTTCGTTTGAAAAAATCCATGCTATGATTTCATTGAGACTCCAGCCATGAAGGGACTCTGACCCATTTATTTCGAGTGCCTCGTTCCTACCTGATTCTGCACTTCATCTCCTTTTTGTGCACTGCAGACGTACACAATAAAAGCTCTAAGGCATTGTGCAGCGGTGGGTGTCTGCTTGCATGGCCAAGGGTGGGGAGTGTGGGGACTTGCCTGAGTTCTGTGCGGTACTGGGGGGGAGGGGGGCTGTTAGAGCTTACCAACCAGAAAGGAGTGTTTCCAAGCTAAACAGTTGGCTAACCTTCACTGGAAGGTGTTCCACAGGAGGAGGGAGAAGATTCACCACATTTTTTTTCTCTCTTTCTGAAAATGTGCACAACAAAGTTTAGAGTCCCATTAATAAGCACTGGCAGCCTTGGGTCACTGTTGAACATTTATTGAAATCAAATGGTTTTCCACATCTCTCAAGAGACGGTAACCGCCCCCCACCAGACTGACTTGGGCAGCACTAGTCATTGTTCTGTTATCGTAAGCACACACAGGTGTGGAATGCTCTAAGATGTGATAGACCCAGGCAGGTCCATGTGACCCAGTGGTCTGGTTCTGTGACTGACAGTCTCAGGTGCTGTCGACTTTTTCAGCAGGCATGGCTTCACCTCAGTGTAGGACAAGGGTCATGTCTGTCCATAAGTTGGGGCTGGACAGGACTTTCTGCCACTGAAGCTTTGACTGGGAACACGAGTCCACACTACCAGCTGCACCTCCCTCTGTAACGAGACATGTTAACGATGGCAGAGGAGGATACCACTTTTGCATTCTCAGCTTTTAAAAATCAAGAGCCAAATGGTAAAAGTTTTCTACCTCATCTGGAGAATGTATGAAAATGTCAGTGTCAGATGAGTAAGAGGACCACCACCTCCATCCCCTCTCCCCGCAGTGCGCTAGGAACAGTGTGCTGAGATGTTCAGAATCATGCCCCAAAAGCCTCTCACACATTTCCATGGTCTAAAGGGACGAGGACTCTGGGCAGACTTCCCCGGGAGTCATGGACTTTAATACTGAGGCTGGTCTGGGGACCCTGCCTTTTCATGGAGTCCTCAGAGTAAGGATACCATTCTTTTGGAAAATACTGTTTGGTAATGCTCAGTTGGCAGTCTGTGGAGATGTATGTGGGTGTTGGGGGGGGCGGACTTCTCACACTAGGGGCTTTGAGGGCCCTCTGGAAACTAGGTAGGACACAGAACCAGCCCCTCCCCACAGGGTACCGTCCGCACAATGCCAGCAGCCCCCTGGTGAGCCACCCTGAATGGCACCCTTGTTTGCTTGTCCTTCACATGCGGTATTTGTTTGGATTAAGGTATTTTCCTTTAAGAAAATAATCCTCTTATGATTGACACCAGGAACAAAAGCAAATACTGTCCCTTGCCTGTTGTGAGGCCTGAAACTTTTCTTTAGCGGACCTAAATCTGATTTAGATTGCTGAAATACTTGGCTGCATTACTGCTCTCCTGTAGAGTTAGACCTAGATTAGGAATTCCCATTTATGGTGAGATAGGGCACTTTCCACTGTGGAAGCAATTCTTGGTACCCATGTAGGACAATCACTAAGGACATCAACGCTGTGGGTTTCGCTGTTTGATAAGCTCTGGAAGACAGATCCACCAAGTTACCAGACTTACTTGTGCCAAGCCTGGCTCCACCCAGCAGGCGGTCGCTCATACCAAAGATGGCCTGGTCCCAGACAGTTAGCTCCAAGCTTGACTGCCTCAGCTGAGAACTGCTAACGCCATTGAACACAAAGGAGTGTTTCCACTGGGGACAACCTTGCTTCTTCAGTACCGGGGACTTCAGTCGAAGTTTTTGTTGGTCTGGCAGGGTGAGACAGCTGCAGAAGGAAATGCAACCCTGAGGCCAGCAAGCAGCCTCCTCTGTGGTTTCCCCTGCATCCCTGGCAGGCTGGACGTGCAAGTGTTACATCCTGGGGGGCGGTATTCTACCCTGAACTAGGATGTGAACCTCAAGGTTTGACTATGTGCCTTCTCAATAGAATCTTCCAATTTTCTTTTAGAGCTGGATTCTGCATCAGGTATGTAGGGTAAGTTGAAATGCTGTGGCACACGGACCTCACTGTAATCTCTTAAGGTTATGCCAACACCGCCCATTAAAGCCAGTGCCCAGGGACCAGGGCTCTGTATACATGGGATATAATTTTGCTCTACTGTGAGGAAAACACATTCAAAAACTAGCTTGCCCAAGGCCATACACAGTAGCAACAGGATCAGGACACAAGCTTGGATCCGTACTGACAGGCCATCATTTTTCCACACTGTTGGGGGCTGGAGATTTAGCTCCTCAGTATAATTACTGGTGTTTTCTTTTGAGGACATTATAATGCATGCCATAGTGACTAAGAATGGCACGTGGAGGTTAATCATGTGAGGCTTAATTCGGGAGGAGGTGCCGAGCTAAGAAGATGTTGACTGAACACATCAGTTTCATGCTTGATTTAAAAAATGATGACTGATAGACAAGAGCTGACAAGGTCTGGATTCCTGATTAAAATGTGCTATTCCCAGCCAAGCCTCAGCATGTCCAAATCCCATTTAGAAATCATGGTCCTTAAAAATGTGCTGTTATTTTCTTTATAACTTACATTTTTATTTTATGTGGGTGTACACACATGTGCAAATGTATTCATGTGTATACATTCCCAAAACACATGTGGAGGTCAGAGAACAGCTTTCAGGAGTCGGCTCTCTCCTTCTACCATGTGGTTCTGGGGGATTGAACTCGGGTCATCAGGCTTGGTGGCAGGTGCCTTTATCTGCTGAGCCATCTTGCCAGCCCAATGTTAGCTTTTCATTGGAAAGGTAAAATAAGATAAATTTGAATTGCCTGTACTATTTGGTGTTTCCTAACATCTCTATTTCTAGGACAACGCTGAATATATATATATATATGGGGGGTGTGGGGGTGTATAAAACAGACAATACATATAATACTTACCCCTTAACAAATGAGTTTAAGGTACCATCTGACCGCACAGGTAAATTCTTGGCTCCCAGCACAACCAAACAAAGTTGGCCATTAAGTGACAGCTGGTCTGTCCATGGAAGGAAAGTCAGAACTCAGGTTAAGCCCATTTCTCCTGAATGGTATGCAATACCAACACCCCCAAACACACAGTCCCTGAGAAGTCTCTCAGCCAGGCCCTGAGCACAGGAGGAAGAGGCTCACTTCTCCTATAGGTGTGACTGGCCTTGTCTACACACTGCCCCTATGGCCAGCATAGGACAGTATGGGAAGACCAGTAGAATCCTGGGGAAGGTGCAGCAGCAGAGAAGACTGGGGAACCCACAGAAAAAAAGCTGTGGAACCTTTTATCTGACTGTAGCCAGTGCTTTGGGAAGGGAGCCTTAGCTGCTGTTGTAGGGAGGTTGTGATTGCAGGGGCTTGCTGGTGGCCCTGGGAGCTCAGAAGTGGGATGACCTCTCCCTGCCCAAGTCACTAAATCACACCATTGTGCATTCTTCCTGTGTCCTTTTCTGTCCGCATAGTGTCCAGCAACCTGGCATCTGCCCTGCATTATCGAAGTTAAATCCCTGAAAGGTACTTGGCCCACGCCACTTGCTGCACAGCAGCTCTTTCGATGAGTCTCCAGATGCCAGCAGCCCAAAAGCACTCAGTTCCTAAAGAGCCAAACTATGGACTCAGTCACAGAGCATCCCTCTTCAATGGAACCACCAGAGACTATTCAGCCTACATGTTTGGAGGGATAAAATGGGCACCTGAGGCCTTTCCTGCTCTAGTCACCCATGTCCCAGGTTCCAGGAAATCCTGTCCTAGGCCACCTCCATTTCTTAGTGAGAAATACTGAGGTGTGTGGGATCAGTGGGCAATGGGAAGTCTTTTGCCCACCTCAAACTGCCTGCCCTCCAGGATTTGGGAACAGTGACAGACAAATGCTCAGGGGTCTGGAGGTGACCAACCTTCTTGGGTCTCCTGGACCTTTCTTGACCCTGCGGGGAGGACCAGTTTGGCTCGAACAGCAAGTTCACCATTATTCTGAGGAACACCGTCTTCATATTTCTCAGCCTGCAAGCAAAAAGCAGAGCTCAGAAGCAGGATCCTTCTACACCCTACAACCACCTGTGCTTCTCGGGTTGTCCCAGCTCCATCCATAAAAGCTCCCATCACCTTTGCAAGGCCTCTCAGTCCTGAGAGAGCCCAAGGATGGAGTGGGCATATCAATGGTGAACTGGTCTTCATCTGTATCATCTCATCCCTGCCTCCCTCAGCCCCTCAGTGTGGGGTGAGCAGTTCTACCACCTCAGCATACCAGGAAACAATGGGCCTGCAGAGCTAATATAGCCCCAAGCAAGCCTGGACATCACCAGGTTTGAAAATCTCAAGCCCCATCCCTGGCCACCAACTCCCTCTAGGTCAGTAAGGACTGAAGTTACCCTTCCTTGCTAATATCTGCTTCAGGCACTGGGGACAGAAAGGATCACAGGCTGTGCCTAAAATCTAACTCTAGGTTGTGGATGTCCAACCCCTGCAAGAACACAACAACCCTGCCTACCAAAGTGACTTCTCTAGTCATGAGTGATTTTGTTAGAAAGTGAACGTAAGGCCCAGAAAAGGGATGATCCTGAATCTGATCATCTTCTATCCAGGGGGTAGAGAAGTGTACTGGGAAAAGGGGGGTGTGGATTTGTTCAGTCCACATCCTGTGGATGCTGTCACCAGCTGTGAGGAGCAGCCCTCGGTATCCAGGGCTCCTGGGAGCCTATGTGGACCAGCCAGCATCTACACTGAAGAATGTCTTCTTGGCTCTTGTGTGTCAACTGGGATAGGTCACCTCCACCATCAAGGTCTAGAAACCAGGCACCAGCCTAAGTGCCCTGTGTCAGAGCCCTGTGAACAGGCCCATGGGCATTCATTCCCCATCCAGCAGCAGGTTGCTTTAGCTTGGCACTCCACTCTTAGCCTGTTTGCCAAAGGAGGCCAAGTGGGACACCCCTGGTTGCCAGCAAGAGATATCCCAGCTTTTCACACTGCCAGCAGAGGCGGACACAAAGCAAGAGTGGGCTTAACCTCTGAAATGTGAGTGAGTTCCTAGTGGATGTGGGCAGGCTCAACTCTCAAAGAGACTCACCTTGGACCGGAGTGGATACGAATGGGAAGTCTGCACCACACTATCCTCAAAGTCCCACGTGGCCAGAGAAAGAATCACTTCTCCAAGGAATACCCTCCGGGCAAGGGTGCCCAGGTGCCACACAGAGACCTGCAACCTCCGCGTTACCAGCTGGGCAGGGTCCACTTGATACTGTAGATGCAGAGCCAAGATGGTTAGCCAGGTCCCCGGTCCCACCCCAGGCCTACGTAGGCTTCTCTCCCAAGGGCTGAGCTCGGACCCAGTTGCAGCCAGGGCCAGGTGTGGTGAGGGTGGGCCAAGCTACTTGGAGTCAGGGACTGAGACTGACTCCAAGTGCCTTTGGCTCACCCACAGCCTGGTTCTTTTCCATTCCCACTCCTCCTCCCATGCCTATTCTCAGAAGGCAAGGATGAGTCCTCACCCAGCCAGGACTCCTGGAAATTGAGCCAAGAACTGTGCCAAGGCAAGAGCTGAACTTACATAGGACTAACACTGCATCCAGCCAGTGTCATCCCGGAACGCTAAAAAATGACTTTGATTGTTTTGCATTATTTATTCATTTACCGGTATGTGTGTATGTGCAGAGGTCAGAGGACAGCTTTCTAATTCTTTTTTTATGTGTATGAATGTTTTGCATGCATGCATGGAAGTGCCTCACATGCATGCAGTGCCCTTGGAGGTGAGAAGAAGGTGGCAGATCCTCAGGAACTGGAGTTAGCCACCATGTGGCAGATCCTCTGCAAGAGCTCTTAACTGCTGAGCCATCTCTCCAGCCCCAAGAGGATGGATTTCAAGAATCAATTCTCTCCTTCTACCATGTAGGTCCTAGGGATCAAACTCAGATCATCAGGCTTCATGGCAAATGCTTTTACCTGCTCTGTCATCTTACAAGCCCCAGATTTTTAATTTTTTTTAAAAAATGCAAGGTGTTCAGGATACAGCACTTTGCTTGGCATGCATGAAACCTCAGGTTTTGTCCCCAATACTGAAAAGAAAAAACACAAAGTATAAGCTTCCCCAGTATGTTTGCCATAGATAGACAATGCATGTAAGTGGGATACAGGGACAGAGACCAGAGGCTAAAGGCCCTGGAACATAGGTAACACACACCCCTTCGGAAAGCTGAGACATTCCTAATGGCCCACTCCATCCCAGACTCTGAGGACCTAGTTTTTAGTAAGTAGCATTTTCTCAACAAACAAGATTCAAAACAAGATTCACATTTCTGGCCCCTTGAGCTGTGCCAGGCATCTTAGGCATCTCTTACCTCTGCAAGCACCTGTGAGGTCAGTATCGAGAGTTACTCATTTGCCCAACAAGACGCAGAAAGTCTGGAAACAATCAGAGGAGGACAGCACTGCCACCCCCATGCCATGCTGCCTACTACAGCTCAGCTCTGGCTTGTGCCGGAGTTTGAATCCTGACTCCCCAGGGGACCCTCTGGGTTGCAGCATGGTGTAACCAAACACAGCTGCCCCTAGATATGCATCTGTTTGGGTTTCATCTCCTCTTAGCACCTTTCTATTTGAGGGTCAAGATAGGAATGAACAGGGAACATCTCTGGAGAGAGATGAAACAGAGGTGAGTGTTATCCTCAGCCTGTCCATCTGGATCCATGTGGCTTGAGGCCAGAGTGCTTGAACCATGTTCCTACTCCATACCCCTCGACTAGTTTTTGTCTGCTTTGCAAATCCCTGTTCTGCTCACACATCTGTCAAAAACCTGTCCCGTGCCTCCTCAGTAGTCAGTTAAGCCTCTGACTACAGAGCTCTCTTGCCCTCTGGGAAATGAGGCTGTTCCAAGAAGAGCTAGCTCTACTGGGATACAGTGGGCCATAGTACAGAATGAGGCCAAATGTTGCCTCCTGAGTGCCACTCCCTAATCACTCCTCTGGGCCACTCAGTAGCCACTGTCCAGTCCTTCGAACACTCAGGCCTGCTTTTCCTGAGTCCTCACTAGTTGGTCACCCCCATCTGATGAATAGAACTGTTCCCCTCTAGTGCCTGTACTGTGGTTCCCAATGCCTGTACCAGTGGACCAAGGCTGCTACAGATTATGGGGTCTGACCCATAAACAGCTTCAGAGAACAGGTCCAGACAAGGCCTGAGTCACCCAGATCTATGGTCTCAGTTCTCCCTAGCCCCCATTAAGAGGACCTCAAAAATGGGTACAAGGTTCCCTGAAGTACAGAGCCCCCCGCTCCAAGCACTCTGCCTAGAAAACTTTGACAATTTCTAGAGCCTCAACTTTGTGTATGTGTACATGTGTGCACATATGTGAGCATACACACATGTGCATGTTTGTGGAGGCCAGAGTCCACTGTTGCATGTCTTCCTCAGTTTTCTCAACACTGGGACAAAGTCTTTTACTCGTTCACTAGGCTGACTAGCCAATGACCTCCAGGGACCTCTGTCTGTACTTCCCAGCACTGAGTTTACAGAAATGTATTTCATTCATCTTTTTTACGTGGCTAATAGGGACAGAAACATATGTGTAGCACGTAATTTACAGACCAAGCCACCTTCCAGCCCAAGCCTCAACGTTCACACACACATTTCTGACAAGATGGGGTGTGTTTGGAGTGAAATGGTTGTAAACTCACACTTTGCTCAAAACCAGCAAGACATGGTTCTCAAAGCCCTTTACTACTGTCTTTCCCCTGGTGCCTACCCAGGTTTCACAAACCTCCCGATGCCGACCCCAGGGGGAAAGTGAAATACTGGTTTCTGTCACGCTTTTAATGATTGATTGGTCCCCTAGGCCCCCATTCTTTTCCATCTTTACAGGAGTTTCTTTAGGAACAAGTCTGGCCTGTGCTGGGATGTTCTGAAATTAGGTTAAAGACATAATTTTTCAAATAGATCTAGAAAGCTCCCTAAGACTATAAAATATTCACACTAGACTAGATAATACCCATAGGTAAAAATAATTGTAAGTGATTTTAGATTCTGCATGTAATTTAAATAAGCTAGGTAAAACCTTTTTAATTGAATTATATAATTAAACATTGATCTGAAATGATCCTTGTCTCATTTCATAAGCCTTGATTGGGTGCAAAATGCATTATTACACTTACGATGAGTATCTAGATACCAACTTAAAAACATTTCAGGTGGCACATAGCTTTTGACTGTCCCCCTGCAGGCTGGTGGCCCCAAGGCAAGGCTACAGTAACTTGCCTGTGGGTGGCCAGCAGACCAGAACCTGTGGGTACAGGGCATCTCAGGCCCTGCCCACACCTGCTGAGTCAGAATCTGCAACTTTAAAAAGAACCTAGGGGATTCCTAAATGCGTGGGCTCAGAGAAGGGCAGCTTGCATTCTGCCTAGTCTTCCAGAATTCCGTGTCTGTGTTCCTCCATGTGTATATAAAGCATTTGGCCAGAGCAGAGGCCCAGGAAACAATGGCTATTATTTAATGAACTTGGAGCTCTGTGCCAGCTTCCCACATGGCCCTGACTGCCAGCTCATAGATCCCCCTACTTGCCAAGAAAGACAAACAAAACCTTCTTCCTTTGCCAGTGTGAAACAGCAGGACTCCTGGGCTGCCCAGTTGTGGCTGGGGTGTCCCCAGAAGTGGCAAGGACAATCACAGCTAGTTTTCTACCCACGCTGGGACTTCCTCAGCGAATGAGAGTGAGAGGCCCTGGCTCTACCCTGAACAACTCTCGTATTTCTTAGTAAAAAAAAAAAGTGAAAATGCAAATTGTTCCTTCACAATTTTTATCTGTGTGTGTGCATGTGTATATATATGATGTAAAGTGTGCGATGAGTGTATGATGTGTGTATAATGTGTGATGTGTGTCTATGTTGTATATGATGTATGTATATAATGTATGTGTATGATGTGTGTAGAGTATGTATATATAATGTACATGTGTAATGTGTGGGAGTACAGATGCATACATGCTAAAGTGTGTGTCTGTGGAGTCAGGACAGACAGGTGACAGTCCTCACTTTCCACCTTGTTTGGGACAGGGTCTGTTTCACCACTGTGCACACAAAGCTTGCCAGGGTTTCTCCTGTCTGCACCTCCCATCTTACTGTGAGGACACTGGGACTGCAGTGCTACCAAGTCTGGATTTTATGTGGGTTCTAACGATCCACACTCAGGTGCTCAGTGCCTGCTAAAGAAGTGCCTTTCCCGCTGAGCCATCTCCCCAGCCCTATAATTTTTTATAAAATGACATTTCTTTTTCATAAAAGAAATAATGGTTTTCAGCTATTACAATAAATAAACTTCTGCAAAGAATGAAATTGGTGGCTTTACTTCAGGGGCCTCTGCTTGAGGCCACCTCTAATATTGAGGCAAATTCCACAAGACAACTAATCTTTTAAAAGTCACTCTATACTCAGTTATTAGGTTGAGACATTTTCTCAGAAATCATTAATCAAAAGCTGTTTCCAAGTACAGCAGAGTCTGTACTTTTCCTGTACAAAAGCTGGTATCTGCTGTCTGTCAACTTACCACTGATTGACAGAGCCACGAAGAAATGTATAGGTGTCTGCACTAATATATAACTGACTAAAGAGATCCAAAGAGGTGTTCTGTACTCTGACCCTGGACCAGCCTGAGGTAGGGAGGATTCAGCTCAGGAATGTTTGCCCAGCAGATACCTTTAAGGTCTCTTCAAAGGTCGGGTCCAGCGTGTTCTTTTGGACTCTTGTCTTGCGTTTTCCTTGGGAGGACCTGTCAGGCAGCAGGTAGGTCTTGACATACCTGGTGACCAAAGGCAAAAGGACAAAGGAACAACTCAGCACGGGATGGACAGAGAGTTCAGAGGTGCAAAATCCATACATCAGCAGTTTTTGTCCTGCTTCCCTGCAGGTGTCTGAGTTGATAGGAAAGGATCAGTGACCGTGTCTGACTCTCACAGTGTGATTGTGGGTACACACACATGTGCACACATAAGCATGAAGGTCAGAGGTTGATGCTTGACATCTTCCTCAATTGCTCTCCACCTTGTATGTGTTTTGACACAGGATCTTTCACTGAACCTGGATCCCCTTGATTAGGACTGGCTGGCCAGCAAGCATCAGGGCTCCTTCTGTCTTCAGCTTTTTATGTGGGTATAGAGAATCCAAACTCATGTTTTCCCAGCAAGCACTTGACTGAGACATCTCCCCAGCCCCTGCCATGAGCCACTTTAGTACTAGGTGAATTTCTGACTCGCATGGCTTTGGCCAAGTACTGAACATTCCTACTGAATGTTCTTGGGATTGAGGGGTGAAGGTCCCTGGCCTTGCTCATTCCCTACTCCTGGAATCTGTATCCTCTCCCACCTGCTAATTTGATGAAGACTATGGAACCAGATGCTCCAACCATGTGCCAGGCCCCTCCTTCCACCTCTACCCATCACTATCCTCCAGCCCTCAGAACTAAGGGGAAATGGAAGCTTATGACTCATACTAGGCTTTTTCTTCATGGGAATCTCAAAGATTCATCTCTTGGGGCTGGAGAGATGGCTCAGCAGGTGTGCTTACAAACATGCAGGCAACATACTCATACACACCAAATAAAAATAGTAATTTTTTAAAAAAGACTAACCTCTTCCTGTCTACTTGGGGTCCTGTAATTTTTTTATTCATTGAAATACTTTTATTAATTCTTTAATAATTTCATACAATGCATTGTGAGCATATCCCCCCCTCCACTCTACCCCTACCTCACTGCCTGCCCAACTCCATGTTTTTTTCTTTCTCTTTTTTCTACCCATCAAGTCTAATTTGTAGTGCTCAAATTCCTGAATGTGAATTGGTTTTGGACTTTTATATAAGAATTTCTCATATACATTCTTCACTAACTCATTTATCTCTCATCAACATTGAGATTCATCCACATTTCCTACCCATTATTGCACTAGTTAATCTATCAGTTCATTATCTTCTGAAGAATCTGCATTTCATGTCTTAGTTTTTGATATTATAAACAAGTCAGTCAAGTGTGATGGAGCATGCCTTTAATCCTAACACTCAGGAGGCAGATCTAGGCAGGCTTAAGGTCTAGTTCAGCAATAGAGTATGTGCCTAGCATGCATGAAGACCTAGACATAATCCTCAGCACTAAAAAAAATCCCTAAGGACTGTGGCATAGCTCAGTGGTACAGTCTATACTCAGCATGTGTGTGCCCCTGGGTCAATCCCTTGCAACACACACACACACACACACACACACACACACACACACACACAATTTCCTAAAAATAAGAAAACAAACCAATTTTAAAAAATGGGCAAAAAAACAGAAAGTTTACCAAAGTTGCTCATGCATGTGCAGGAAATATTGCCCATTTCTATTAGTTGCCACATTTACATAATGGTGATATTTAATTTCATCTCAGTTGGGAAATTTTAAAAATTTATGTATTGTGAGAAGTTGTTAATTTTGTTTTTTCTGTATGAAGTCAAACTTCCCAACACCATTTACTGAAGTCCACCTTTCCCCCACTGATCTGTTATAGTTTCTTGCTACAGACTGAATGTGTATGTCCCTCTACGTTTCAACTCATGCATTGAAACTTAAGTCCTATGTGATTATATTTGGAGGTGGGGGTCTTTGAGAGGTAGTTAGGTATGAGGGTAGCCCTCATGAATGAGATTACTGGTCTTATAAAGGAGTCCTCAGGGAGCTGCCTTGCTCTCTGTGTGATGGCAAATACAGACTACAAGCCAGGAGCTGGTCCTCCCCAGAAACTGGATCTACCAGCATCTTAGACTTCCCAGCATCCAGAACTGTGAGAAATATATTTCTATTGTTTATTAGCCAACCAGTCTACAGTCTTCTGTTAAAGCAACTGGTCACTAAAGACACCCATTGACCATACAAGTTTCCACACATGTCTAGGTTTATAACTGGACTTTTTTTTTCTTTTTCTTTTTTTTTTTTTTTTTACAGGGTTTCCCTAGTCCCAGCCCACCTGGAACTCACTACGTAGACCAGGCTGGCTTCAATCTCACAGAGATCTACCTGCCTCTGCCTCCCGAGTATCGCTGGACTTTTGATTCTGCTCTGTTGACCCACGTCTTTATCCTTGTACCGATAACACATTAAAAAAAAAAAAAAAACTTACGGATTGCACTTTTTCTTCTTTTCCTCTCCATAAGCAAGATTCTTACAGCTCTTGATGCATATTTCTAAAGACTGGGTTTTAAAGCAGTAGCGAATGGCAAATTCTATTTCTCCAGTGACATTATTAGCATTGTCAAAATTACCCATCTCTGTGCAGGTGCTGTTAATGCTAATTAAGCTTCCCTGAAATCAATAATGACAGGCATAATCAGTTAAATTTTTACAGTTCTGATTTCAAAATAAATCATAATTCACACAGAGCACGTATCCTGACTCCTATTAAGTTAATAAATGCATCAGGTTGTGCTTTGCCAAAGTAAGTTGCCACCTGGTAGGGCTACACAATCCCATTCTCACAAGTCACTTGGGAGGAAGTGACCATCTCCCATGCAATTCTGCCAAGATAGCTCTTGGACAAGACAGTGTTCACTGTAGAACAGATGTGTATAAAGCAGCCGAGATTGGGGTCAGATAGACCCGGATTTCATGGATGGCTCACTGGCTGTGTCAAAGTCTGACAGAGAAAAGTAACACTGGTCTCAGGGTTACAGAGGAGACTAAGTGGAATGAGCCTTGTAGAGTATGCAAAGATAATAAATTGTATTTAAATTTTTATGGGCGCTGAAAATAAAAAGTGAAACTACCCTCATAAATTAGAGCAGTCTAAGCTTAGATGATAAATCAAGATAGGTAACACAGGATGCCTGTGCCTAAAAGACCAAGTCAGCCACTTTATCACTATTAAATTTGCTTAAACAACTGCTATCATTTGTATGCAGTGAGTTTCAATGTGGACTGTATAGGAACATTGAAACTTTAAATGATTTCTGCTTCTAATACCAAGCAGCTCCTCTGCACCATACAATACCCTGAAAAGCCTATGGTAGAGAGCCAGAACCAGCAGAAAGAGATAAAAACCAAACCAACTCAGAGGGACTGGAACCTAAAACAACTAAAACCAAGAATACAGCCAGCATCTCCACACCTAGCCACAGGCTCAGGAAAATATCTGACCACACCATAGGACTGTTAGGATGGGAAGCAACTTTACAATAGTACACATACAGGGCATGCAGAATGGGGAGGCACCGTGATGAGGGTATGTTAAAAATGAAGGCAGGGGAGAAGAGGCGAGAGGGGTTGTCGAGAAGAGCTGCTGGGAGAACAGGTGGATAAACAGAGGAGTTGAATTCTGGTCATTGAAACAGCGGGGCATATACCTCAGTGGTAAAGCCCTTGCCTGCCATGCCTGAGTCTCTAGGTTCAGTCCCCAGGACTGCAAAAAAACAATCACAAACCAAAACACCCTGGCACTCATTATGGGACCTGACTTTGGGTTTAGTCAGATTACACTGTGTGATGACAGTTTATCTGACAAGAACAGTTAGGGAGCTGAATTAAACAACCCAGATATTCTAAGACACAGGGCCGGGGAGATTGATCAGAGGGTAGCATGCTGGCTGCTCAAGGAGGAGGACTTGAGTTTGGATACCCAGCACCCATGTAGAAAGCTGATCGCGGTGGTACATGCCCGTAATCCCAGCACTGGGAAGGTGGAGACAGGCAGACAGATCTAGAGACTTGCTGGAAAGCCAGTCTAGCTGAAATGTGAGTTTCAGGTTCAGTGAGAGACCCAGTCTCCAAAAAATAAGGTAGAATGCCACAGGAGAAGGACACCTGATGTCCACCCCTGGCCTCAACTAACATACATATACATAGGCAATCGTACCCTCACACGTGCATGCTACATTCATACCAAAAAAAAAAAAAGTTTCAAGACATTGTGGAGCTACCAAGACAGCCAGGACCCTGGGCTCCAAGGTGCTAAGGAGAAAAGAAGCATGCTAGAATCAACCTGGTTCTCTGGGCTGCTTCTCTCTTGATGGCATTTGCAGACCTGGAAGCCATACCAGGTTGGAGGATGGAAAAGTTCCTCTAAACAAAGACACAGACACTAAGCAAAGGATTTGGCAGTCAGACAGGCTTGGGAAACAAAAGGCAGCCCCAAAGCTATGAAAGCACTCAAAATGAGAAGCCAAGTCCCCAGGGAAAAGGGACATGGTCTGAGCACAGCATCACCGGCTGCCTTCCACGCAAGGTCTTTGCTGAATCAAAAACTGTGGCTGCCACACAGAGAAGCTCAGGAATACCTTCAGAAGTGTCATTGTGCTTGAGAAAAAAATGAGTTCAAGCTTACCACAAGGGTGGTAAATAGCTACACTGTCCGTGGAGCCCCTCAACTGTCCGTGGAGCCCCTCAACTGTCCGTGGAGCCCCTCAAAGGATCTCTTACTGGAAGTAAGGTCCAACTGGTCAATCCTCACAAAGACTGAGCCCAGCTCTGTATTGGCTCAATCCCAGGGTGGATTAAAGACTATTTAACTCTACCCTAGTTGCTGTTGACAGTGAGAGGAAGTTCTCTGAAGGAAGCTATCTTTCTGAGTCTCAAATTATCTGTTTTTCATACATAATTTCCAACATCCAATAAAAAATTACTATCAGACATACCAGGACTAAAAGGTAACAATTGCCCCAGTTTCCTCAGCACAGGGGGATTTCCTGGGATATAGCAGTTGAAGTACTAAAACCCAAAGAATTCTGAATAAGGGTGTATGGTTGGCTACCTTAAGTCTAGGATCCAAGAACAGCAGAGGAAAAACGCAATAAAAACAGATCCCAGATGGTCAAGATACTGATACAAACTTTAAGGTAATAGTGATTATCCAGTATTGTGAGGCACAACTTTAATCCCAGCCCTCTGAGTTTGAAACTTGTCGGGTCTATATAGTAAGTTCCAGGCCAGCCAAGGCTCCATGGCGAGACTGTCTCAAAAAATAATGGTGATCAATAGATGAAGAAAGTAGATAAGATGGAAATTTTCTTCAGAGAACTAGAATCTATAAAAGAACAAAAAGCAACTGAAATTGAGTACTCCACAAATGGACTTAAGATTAGATACAGCTAAAGGAAGAATTAGAATACTGAAAAGTGGGTCAGTAGAAAACATAGTGGAGCAAAAAAGAGATGACTAGAAAGCATACAGGACGCACTGGACGTAATGAAATGTAGAATATGCATTTGGAACGTCACAAAGAAAAATGGGGCAGCTGGTATTCGAAGACATAAGGGCTAAGAATTTTACAAGATTGAGAAGAGATAAACTATATATTCAAAAGTAATATTTTTAAAAAATTAAAATGTATAGGCATATAATAAAACTGCGAAAAAAAATCAAATCTTAATGGCAAAGCAGGGACAACATATTGCCTTTTACTGGGAGAGACATTAGACTTATCCTGCTTACTCCTCAACAGGAATGATACCTATTAGTTGCTTTTATAATCACTGTGATCAAATACCTAACAAGAAGCAATTCAACTATATCTATGAGTATACAAGCAGCAGAAATTGGACTCAGTGGGGTCTTTTAAAAAAAAGAGGATATGAAGTTGGGAGTGGGGGTGGGAGGGTAGATCTGGGAGGAGCTGGGGGGGAATATGATCAATGTACATTGTATATGTATTAAATTCTCAAAGAATTTATAAAAGTATTATAATAAAAGAAGCAACTTCCTCCCTTAAGGGAGGACAGAGTCGTTCTGGCTCACAGTTTGGGGGGATATAGTCCATCAAGTCGGGGGATGGCATGACAGCAGTGACAGGAAAGCAGAATCAGAGCTGGGTTATAACCCTGAGTCCCTCCCCAGCAATCTACTTCCCACAGGTCCCACCTCTTACATAATCTCCCAAAACGCCACCATCAGCTGGGGACCAAGCATTCAAAAACATGAGCCTGTGGAGGTCATTTTACATCCAAATCATACTTTGATAGAAAGAAGATCTTATAAATCCCAAAAAAGTCATAAAACAAAGGGATAGAGGGTCTGGGGAGATGGCTCAGTTGATAAAGCACTTGTTCTACATGCCTGAGAACACGAGTTCAAACCCCCAGCATTCGTGCAAATATGCATACCATACATACACCACAAAGACACACATGCACAATAGTAATAATGGTAATGTAGGTGAAATCTAAGCATGGCATTTGACTCAGCTTAATGCACATTAACTATTATAATTACTGGTGGTATTAGTATTGATCTGCATGCTGTGTGAATGAGTAAGGCTAATTTTGCCACTGCCCTTGACAGATGAAGAAGATGAAACCCAGTGGGCTGTCACTTAACATTACAAAGAGTTAGGACTAGCACTTGAGACTTCTGAGTTCCATTGCTCCTTAAGGTCCAAGGCAGCACATACTTCATGCCCTAACATTTACACAGACTTTAAAAAATCAAAATACTTCACGAACTTCGCTTACTACATAAGCACTGTTAGAGATTTTCCATAAGCCAGACGCTGAGGATAATGCACAGCCCTGTTTTCATGGAGTCACAGTGTAATGGAAGAGATGAGTCTCACTAAAGGGGTCCAGCTGGAGAAGTGGGACAGAAACAACGATAACACCATGCCGTGAAAGCAGACCATCGTGGGCTTTAAGGAAAGTAAGCTGGGCAGTGTTGGATGCTGGGAAAAGGCCAAGTGAAAGGTCAGAAGATGCTGCTAGACTCTGTGAAGTGAAGGTCACTAGCAGAGAGTGAAGGTGCCAGAAGGCAGACTGAGATGGGCTGAAAACGTGGACACAGCCTTTAGGAAGGGCCCAGAAAGGCTGGCTAAGGAACAGAGGCTAGAGAAGAATGAAAGATCGAGTGTAGATGTTTTGACTCAATTCATTTTGTTTTAATAAGAGAGACTTGGGTTTAAGGCGAGCAGAAAAGGATCCAGGTGAGTATACAAGTGAGAGGGGGACAGGTGGCGGAACGAAGGTTCCAAGGAGACAGACGATCAAAGATGGCCCGGAGTATCGAGGGAGGAACAGAGGGAGGGTAGAGAGGCAGGTGTGGGGAGTGGATTCCAACTGGGTCCCTGCACCCAGCTCCTTTTTCTTCATTCATTGCCTTTGTCTCCCTTCTTTCACCCTCCCACCTCCCCTCCCCATCTCCCCCTCCCCTTTTCTCTTCATTTTCAGCAGTAAGAAAGCAGATTTGTTAAGAGAATGAAGAGGCAGCATAGTGTGAAATGACTGGAGCAGCTCTGAAATGGTTGCACTGGAACACAGACAACTGAGTTAACCAGACAAACACAGGGGATGCGGGCAGTGTTGGAGCACGTTTGGAGTTGGTGA